ACTGCTGGATATTTTGTTGCTAATTAGTTGCTCGCCAAAAACGCAGATAAGAGTATCCTACAATCATCCCCTAACCTCAAATACTACCCCTCTACTCACTAAAAAATAGTAGATGGTTCGAATTCAGACGCAGATGTTTAAAACTGCTGGATATTTTGTTGCTAATTAGTTGCTACAAAATAGCGTTGCTTATAGTATTTAATTATCAAGCCTCAACTCCAGATCATCCCTGCAACCACCCCAGAATAGGACGATATCGGAAAATTCTCGTAGGTGGAAAATAGACGCGGCATATTTAGTTGCTAATTAGTTGCTCGCCAAAAACGCAGTTAAGAGTATTCTACAATCATCCCCTAACCTCAGATCCTACCCCTCTGCTCACTTAAAAATAGTAGACGGTTCGAATTTGCACGCAGATGTTTAAAACTGCTGGATATTTTGTTGCTAATTAGTTACAGAAAAATAGCGTTGCTTATAATATTTGATTATCAACCCTTAACTCCAAATCATCCCAGCTGCCACCCTTATGGGTATAAAAAATGCGGGATATTTTTCTACAATCTAAATAAAACGGCCAGAATACGCTCGTAGATGTATATTACTGCAGAATATCGTATTGCTTATTAGTTGCTCGCTAAGTTTACATTTAAAAATGTTCTACAATAATCTCTTTACCTCAGGATGCCTACTCTATTTCACCGAAAAATTAAATTCGATCGAAATTTCGCACGTTCTTTACTCTGTTCCTTTTTCATTTCAAACATTCGAAAATAGTTTGACGATTAAATTCTCCATACCTATTCTAATTCAAAAAACTTTCGAAGGAAAAGTTGAATTTGACAGATTTCTTTTCTGCGTTCGAAATCTTATCCTCAAATTGACGAAATGAAAAGTGTTACCTTTTCATTTTCGTTTTAATTAAGCCTAAAATAACTGCTAGAGTATTTTTAATCACGGCTGCTTAGCGTGAGGAAAATTTTTTGCATGTTAAATTAAAAAATAATCTTAATTTTTATTATTTTTTGTATTTCCAATACTTCAAAGTATTAAACGACAAATTTATATGTATTAATTCTACAAATTAGTAAAAAAGAAAGTTCTTTCATAGTCATAAAAAATTTGACATAAAGTAATATTGTTTCCAAGTACAAAACGCAATCTAAATAGTGGAGATAAAAAAGAACTCACAAACATTAGTTCACGAAAATTGTTGGTGAATCTGAACTTTATGTGCGTGTTCGAATAAGAAATAGTCACTGGCGCAATTTCGTTTAAAATTCGTTCGTCACCTTAGTTTAAAACAAAAAGGGTAGATACGGTACGCTCATACACTAGCATCAAATAAAATATGATCCGACTCAACTACATAAGCAACTCTCACACACGCACACGTCTGTATAGAGAGAGATGTACTCGCATTGTGGCCTAAGCGTGATGGCGGTTATGGCAGTAGTTAGTCCCCACGCGCTGGTTATTCCCCGACTCCGAATCGTGTGGTTTAAATTACGGTCAGCAAATAAACAAAGGAAATAAAAATATTTAACTTCATTGAAAATGTAAATATTTTATAAGTAAAAAAGTAATCATCATAATCATCAACATCTAGCAGTTAAATGCTTAAAATAAAAATATAATAAACAGTAAATGTACTAAATAGATAATGTAAATCTTTACCGGATTATTGATTACTAGAAAAAAATGCCACTAACACAGCTTTTTGGTGTACCATTATCAATTCCAGATTGTGTTTCTTGAAGCTGTATAACGAAAAAAAAAATATATGAAATCAATGACTTACGTTAAAACAATTTCTTGGTCACATTGGCTAAGAACAGTTCATCAAAACCCGTAAATATACCTAAAACATATACCAAAAAAGAAAAAGCATTTCACTGCTAGATGTTGATGATTACTTTTTAACTTTTAAAATATACATGTTCAAAGAAGGTAAATATTTTTATTTCCCTTGTTTATTTGGTGACCGTATTTTAAACCACACGATTCGGAGTCACGAGTCTACGAGAATTTTCCGATATCGTCCTATTCTGGGGTGGTTGCAGGGATGATCTGGAGTTAAGGATTGATAATCAAATATTATAAGCAACGCTATTTTTCGGCATTTAATTAACAACAAAACATCCAGCAGTCTTAAACATCTGCGTGCGAATTTTAACCATCTACTGTTTCTAAGTGAGTAGAGGGGTTGCATCTGAGATTAGGGGATGTTTGTAGAATACTCTTAATTGCGTTTTTGGCGAGCAACTAATTAGTAACAAAATATCCAGCAGTTTTAAACATCTGCGTGCAAATTCGAACTGTCTACTATTTTTAAGTGAGTAGAGGGGATAGATCTGAGGTTAGGGGATGATTGTAGAATACTCTTAACTGCGTTTTTGGCGAGCAACTAATTAGCAACAGAATATCCAGCAGTTTTAAACATCTGCGTGCAAATTCGAACCGTCTACTATTTTTAAGTGAGTAGAGGGGATGGATCTGAGGTTAGGGGATGATTGTAGAATACTCTTAACTGCGTTTTTGGCGAGCAACTAATTAGCAACTAAATATGCCGCGTCTATTTTCCACCTACGAGAATTTTCCGATATCGTCCTATTCTGGGGTGGTTGCAGGGATGATCTGGAGTTAAGGGTTGATAATTAAATACTATAAGCAACGCTATGTTGCAGCAACTATTGAGCAACATAATATCCAGCAGTTTTAAACATCTGCGTGTGAATTCGAACCATCTACTATTTTTTAGTGAGTAGAGGGGTAGTATCTGAGGTTAGGGGATGTTTGTAGGATACTCTTATCTGCGTTTTTGGCGAGCAACTAATTAGCAACAGAACATCCAGCAGTTTTAAACATCTGCGTGCGAATTCCAACCATCTACTGTTTCTAAGTGACTAGAGGGGTTGGATCTAAGGTTAGGGGATGATTGTAGAATACTCTTAACTGCGTTTTTGGCGAGCAACTAATTAGTAACAAAATATCCAGCAGTTTTAAACATCTGCGTGCAAATTCGAACTGTCTACTATTTTTAAGTGAGTAGAGGGGATGGATCTGAGGTTAGGGGATGATTGTAGAATACTCTTAACTGCGTTTTTGGCGAGCAACTAATTAGTAACAAAATATCCAGCAGTTTTAAACATCTGCGTGCAAATTCGAACTGTCTACTATTTTTAAGTGAGTAGAGGGGATGGATCTGAAGTTAGGGGATGATTGTAGAATACTCTTAACTGCGTTTTTGGCGATCAACTAATTAGCAACTAAATATGCCGCGTCTATTTTCCACCTACGAGAATTTTCCAATATCGTCCTATTCTGGGGTGGTTGCAGGGATGATCTGGAGTTGAGGGTTGATAATTAAATACTATAAGCAACGCTATTTTGCAGCAACTAATTAGCAACAAAATATCCAGCAGTTTTAAACATCTGCGTCTGAATTCGAACCATCTACTATTTTTTAGTGAGTAGAGGGGTAGTATCTGAGGTTAGGGGATGATTGTAGGATACTCTTATCTGCGTTTTTGGCGAGCAACTAATTAGCAACAGAATATCCAGCAGTTTTAAACATCTGCGTGCAAATTCGAACCGTCTACTATTTTTAAGTGAGTAGAGGGGATGGATCTGAGGTTAGGGGATGATTGTAGAATACTCTTAACTGCGTTTTTGGTGAGCAACTAATTAGCAACTAAATATGCCGCGTCTATTTTCCACCTACGAGAATTTTCCGATATCGTCCTATTCTGGGGTGGTTGCAGGGATGATCTGGAGTTAAGGGTTGATAATTAAATACTATAAGCAACGCTATTTTGTAGCAACTAATTAGCCACAAAATATCCAGCAGTATTAAACATCTGCGTGTGAATTCGAACCATCTACTATTTTTTAGTGAGTAGAGGGGTAGTATCTGAGGTTAGGGGATGATTGTAGGATACTCTTATCTGCGTTTTTGGCGAGCAACTAATTAGCAACAAAATATCCAGCAGTTTTAAACATCTGCGTGTGAATTCGAACCATCTACTATTTTTTAGTGAGTAGAGGGGTAGTATCTGAGGTTAGGGGATGATTGTAGAATACTCTTATCTGCGTTTTTGACGAGCAACTAATTAGTAACTAAATATCCCGCGTCTATTTTCCACCTACGAGAATTTTCCGGTATCGTCCTATTCCGAGGTGGTTGCAGGAATGATCTGGAGTTAAGGGTTGATAATTATTTTTTTTAAACAACGCTATTTTGCAGCAACTAATTAGCAACGAAATACGCCGTAGTTTATATTCTCTGATGAGCTCTTTTTAATTTTATCGTATTTCGGGGGTAGTGTGGGTGCTGGTGCGGCAATTAAGGGATGATGGGGGGATAATACAAATAATGCTGTCCTACAGCAACTAATTAGCAACTAAATATGCCGTTTGCAGAACTTCGATATCTTTACGAGAACCGAAGATACAGTATTGTGGTCTGCTAGGTTAAGACTTAATCTAGCAGATCGCATGTATCTTTTACAGGTGTTGAGCAACTAAATCGGGAATAGTGTAACTAATTAGCAACTAATTAGCAACTAAATATGCCGTTTACAGAACTTCGATATCTTTACGAGAACCGAAGATACAGTATTGTGGTCTGCTAGGTTAAGACTTAAGCTAGCAGATCGCATGTATCTTTTACAGGTGTTGAGCAACTAAATCGGGAATAGTGTAACTAATTAGCAACTAATTAGCAACTAAATACCCAGTAGGTTAGATGTGCGCGTTGCGACCATGGTCTGCTAGCTTAATATACGTCTCTCGGCACCACCTAGCAGTAAGGTCGCAGGGTCTTGTGCGAGCTGTAACCTGTTGTTGGTCGGAATTATTGATGTTTTGTCTTTTTGCTTAGAGTGATCTGAACTAACTTCAATGAAACCCTGTACGTAAAGATTGGTGACTTTTATTCTGCGCGAACAATCTCTATCTGCACTCCAGTTACTGTGTATTATGGTAGTTGAGGATGCAAAGAGTCACAGTGAGTGCAGACTAGCGTCCGTGTCGATCTCGGCACCACCCAGCAGTAAGTTTGATTCGCAGGGTCTCGAGCAGGTTGTAACCTGTGGATCGGGATTATTGATGTTCTGTCTTTTTGTTTAGAGTGATCTGAACTAACATTCAATGAAACAGTTTACGTAGAGATCGGCGGTTTTTGTTCTGATTATTAACACGAATAGCACGCGAACTGAATCTGCACACCAGTCAATGTGTATTGTGGTAGTTGAAGATGCAAAGGGTCATAGTGAGTGCAGACTAGCGTCCGTGTCACTCTCAGCACCACCTAGCAGTAAGGTTGACTCGCAGGGTCCAGGGCGCGCGTCGCCGTCGCGCGCCGTAGGATGGGCCGGCAGTAGTCACAGCTCGATGGGCACGGCTCCTTTCCACGTCACTCCGGCACGGAGGAGGTGGTATAGTCGGAGGACGCACCATATGCAAAGGCACTGCGGAAGAAAATCAAATTTGGAGTTACTGATATCAAATGCCTAGTCATGAGTAGGTACGCATATTCGTTTGGTTGTAAAAATTTAGCATTTCATTAATTTAGAAAGAATACCTTCGAGATATTTATAATAACTTATTGATTTTTTTTTTAATAAAAGATCAATAATTGCATTATTTTAGAAAAACCTTTACATTTACATCAAATTTTATTTAGGGAAAATTTATCTATTGCTTTGATTATTTATTATTTATTATTTATTCATCTTTTGATACCCACGACTATAATAGTAAAAATATCTTTAGCTATAAAAATCTAGCAGTTTTTTGCTGAAACAAAAGTATGATAAACCTGTCCAATTATGTAAGACAGGTATCAAAATGAGGGTAAGAGAGAAATATAACTGTTACAATGGTTTATGTATATATCACTGGCAATCTGCATAATTCAGGTATTCTATACCTAGCCATTGTACAGAATGCCTGGGGCGTCTAGGCAATGTATCTAATAGTACAAATAATATTTACCATTTAATAGGATTTGCTTAAGTAATGTATACAATTCCTACAAATTGTATAAAGTACGTGCGGGTCCACCGGCAATGTGTAAAATAAATTTAGCCTGTATTAGGTATTATTATTGTATTGCCTGTATTATTTAGGCCAGGGCTTGAAACCGGTTTCGAAAATACCGGTAAATAAAGGTTAATACCGGTTTTTAGTAAAGGTTTCGTTCGGAGCGTGTCCTAAATGAAAGCGGTACCTAAAACCTTAATAAACCGGTTTAATCCAGAGTGACAGGTGCACGCGTCGGCATCGCTTAAAATTTGTTTTGTTTGAACTAATCAAGTCACAACTTGTTAATGCTCAGAGATTGATGCATTTATTGACACGATCGTTTGCGTCTAGTGAGTCAAGTTATTCATTTATTATCGATGTCGTCAGAAAGAGCGAAATGAAACCCTTTAATAACCGCTACATTGATTCAAAACCTATTTGATTTCGCTCTTTAGGAAAACCGGTTTTTTAAGGTTAAGGTAGAGCCAAACCTAAATAAAACGCTCCTAATGTACTTGACACTGATTTAGGTTTGAAAATTAACCGGTAAACAAGCCCTGATTTAGGCCGACGAAGCGCCAGGCCACCTGATAGATAATCTCTATATATAAGAATAAATCGTCGAAAAGTATGTATGCTTATCACTACTGAACAACTGAACTTAATTCTTTTGAAATTGGTAAATTATTTTTTTATTGTGTTAGTTATTGTAAGGATACGGTTTGTAGAAAAAAAGACAGCAGAAATATTTTTAAAATCACTTTCAATGAAAAATTGCTATCTCAAAAATTCTTACGAAATATCTTTTTAAATTTCATAATATGAAAAAAGGCAATAGCCTAAGCAACAACAAAATGATGTTACGTGTGTTTTGATTTGCTCTGCGTGTTTAGAGATTTTTCGTCGCGGTTTTCATAGTTATTGATAAGAAAATGCCACGGCAAACCACAGTGTGTTCCAAATTCATTTAGTGCAAATATAATTCAAGAAGGTGATTTTAATACAAGATGTATTAAGGTATTTTGAATTCTATAACTCAAATTATACAAACTTTGAATAAATATACTCCTATATAGAGCAATTCAAATAAATCGCGCAAAGAAAACGGCTCTTGTTTCGTGTAATGTGACTGACTCTAATGTCAGATTGTACTAAAGCAGTCAACGTAGGCGTGTGTAGTAATAAGCATATCTGCCATATGTAGTAGATATTTTTGTGCCGCTTCAGTGCAGTTAATACTGTATCTAGGGTGTATATAATCAACGTAGGTACTTATACATATTAATTGCAAATTAAGCCTATAAAAGCACGTAACGTGTCACATTTTCAGTACTTTTAAACATAAGAGGAAATATAAGAGGTATATATACCTAGTATAATACGATTACTTAGTATAAAATAAATAATATTTCGTACATTGCCTTGACATGTTTGACATTTTATACATTGCCTAGGTAATGTATAGAATGACGGATTATACAGATTGCCGGTAACATATATGTATATTTAATAATATTGTTACTCACATTTAAAAGTATTCTTGGTATTAAAAATGATATTTCCGCCTTACACATAGCGTCGAATTGCTGTAACAAAAAAAAATATCAGTTTTTCGAATCCAATCCATTTTTAATGCAGAGAGATTCGATTACACAAAACCCTGATCTGAATAAGCGCTTTGTATTTTTGATATATCCAAAAATAGGTTGTAATTGGTACATATGGAATTCTCAATAAATAAAAAAAATAAAATAAAAATACATTTTTATGTAAAGAGAGTGGCAACGAAGCTCGAGGCTGTAAGCGATGGTAAGCGGCCACTATACTGTAATCTTGCGATGAAATGGTATTCCATGTTTTTTACCCTCACAAAATGGAGCCAAAATTATGTATTATAAATCCTTGGACTAAATTCGACATTTGTAAAAACCTACTGACAATTCATGACATGAAAAAAAAAACTTTTCGCTCCCTAATAATACCAAAATGCTTTATTAAGTAGAGAGTCATACAAGGAGTTTCCCTCAAGATGCGTTTTCGTCACTAGATTCGTTTTATAAATATTATTAAAATGATGAATGAAAAATCTATATCGTTGAAACTTGTTTTATTTAATGAGTGGTGTGCGTGAAAACCTAAGAAACAAATATATTATTAAAATGGTTTTAGAAACTGGTTTTAACTCTGGTTAATATCTTCGAAACTCAAGAGCTCCGGAGCTTTGGAGTGTATTTAGGCAGCGGAGTTAAGAAGATTCGAAACTTGGGATTGAAAACCCTAGTTCTAAAGGAATACCTACCAATGCAGTGCTCGGCTTCCGAGCCGCGGATCCCGGATGCCGAGTAGCGATTGCCGAGATCGGCATGCTACCTTTAGTCACATAATAGGTACTATCTATTTTGTGCTTTAGTGTTATTGTTGCAGTATTCCCCGGGACCAGATTCCTACGCAAAAAATACTGAAAAAATAGTATACGATATTAATTATTAATCGATATGTACTTATTCGCCAGTTGACTGACAAATGTTTCATCGGAGACTCAATTACACCACATAAACAAGTTTACTGACTACTCAAAGAAGGCCATTTTGCCATTTACGGCACCCTTTTGGGGACATTAAGTGGCACTAAAAATATTTTGTTCGTAAACGGCGTAAAAACTTATGATATTATCGCATACGGACCGTCAAAGTTTGTCTGCACTTAGTAGACCGATAAAATACTAGCCTTTTAATATATTCTTTTACTTACTATAGATTTCCGTACCTAAATAAATAAATATTTCCAATACTCACACCAATTAGCCTAGCCCCAAAGTAAGCACTATAAGGTTTGCGTTATGGGATACTAGGGTAACGGATAGAATACATATACTGTACATTGAACCCGGGACCTCTCGAGTCGGTGACACCATGAAACCCGGCGTACAAACCACTCGGCCACGGAGGTCGTCAAAATAGTATCCTATTACGGAACTCTGTTGCTAAACTTCCGCTGTCCATCTGTCCGACTTTTCGAGTGTTTTTGATTTGATTTGTAACATCTTTCCTCTCGCTTTCCTGTAATTTGTGGGAGTGATTTCGTGAAATGGGACGGAAGTGTGTAACAGGAAGTCGCGAAAGCGTGCGCTATTTGATTTGATTTTAGAACATAATGTTCAAAGGGCTTATTCCTTTTGTAGTAGATTTTATTTCTTTTTTTACTAATATAAGGTGAGGTTACACATCATACGCGACTACTGTAAGGCTCGCTCGTTTTTTTTCTATAGAAAAGATATTTGTAATTTTCACAAAAATAAAATACTCAACGTTGAGAATAAAGGATACCGCCATACGTGAAAAGTTCAATAGATATATTGTAAACCTTAGTAAGACGATTATACTAGAGCCTTCGTGTTCATTTCCGACATGCACTTACCCGGTTGTTATGGTAAACTTAAAAAAATCTTAAGGGTTTTTTTTTTTATTATAGTGGTTACGAAGTTCTTAAAAATCCGCGTTGCTGTACCTACCCTACCGCGTTCTTGATTTCCTCATCCAGTGACAGTGAGGCCCGTATTATACAAAGATTCTCAGTGTTTGATCTAGTCTTGAGCATTTTTAGAAAGGGATGTCGCTATATGTATCACATAGCGACATCCCTTTCTAACTGTACTCAAATAAAGATCAACACTTACTTGTCCTTCTGTAATACGGGCCTGATTGTTGTATACAGACTCTGCATAGTAAGACCATGTGGTTTATATACATGCTTTTCTAATTTCGGTGTTATTGTTTTAAATGATAATAACGCTGTCTTTGGGGAACCCGCTACATATTTTATCACATGACATAATATTTCAAAAATTCATATACTAAACATATTAAAGTACTTATATATAATAGAAAATATTACAGTATATAAAAACAATATATTAAAACAATTGAAGAAAACATATTTATAGTATTTGCATATACCTACATAAACAAATGTTTTATATAATATATATGTTACGCTCAAAGATCGAAAACGCTCAGTGAGCGGAAAAATAGCTCACAACGCGTTGTGGTCACAGTAAAACATCCACATCGCGAAATTCGTGTTATGGCTTTAATGAAAACACGCACGACGCGTTGTGGCAATCACAGAAAGACCAAATAGCGAAATTCGTGTCGTGGCTGACATGCTATTCGATATCAACGCGTTGTGGCAATGATGAAAAGCCATGACGCGTTCTGAGCATTCATTGTTTTAACCATATAACGACGGACAGGTTGTACGTTGATAGAGGACTTGCACCACCCAGGAATGTTATGTGTGTTGTTAAGAGCATTAATCCATCAGGTCTCTACCAGTTAGGAAACAAGGAAGGTACATTCGATAGACTTTATGCACGTAATGAGTTTACACTTTCTGAAACCCACTTTATTAACATTTGTGATGTGCCCTCAACTTCGTCATTAACACTTCGCTCAGCATCTATGTTATCATCTGGAAGTAAGCAAGGGTTTATAATGTGCCACTGAAAAAGATACTGTATTGATAAAAAGTGCAAGTGTCACTCCAAGAATATAAATGCAACTCAAAATTCCACAGTAATAGTTCCTGTAAAAATAAATAGCAATCAAATACTTATTTTTCACAATTATAGTAATTTCTAATATAAGTAATTGATTTATGTACATTGTTGTTGTTTATTGGTTATCAATAAACATTTATGTTTGTGTTAAATATTTTTATTACTTGAAAGAATTTTAAATTGTCATAAAAAAAAAAATATTCCTAATTATTTGAAGTGAATTATAAGTAATTTACAAATGATTAATATTTTGTGTTCAGTAATTTATTACTTAATACGTTGATTTTTTTTTAAATATAAAGTAATCTCAAAAATAAAAATATTGTTTTATTTAAATTTATATAATTATATAACATATTTGATAATGAAAAACACGTTATGCAGTGATTTTATAAAATAAAAAATATTTCCTATAGACATCTACCAGAACGTTTCCAGCCTAGGCCTAGTAGGATCCATATCGGAAAGTAGTGTGCGTCGTAATCAAATAATATCCATACGCGTCATGGCTTTTCTTCATTTCCACAACGCTTTGAGATCGAATAGCATGTCAGCCACGACACGAATTTCGCTTATAATTCCATTATTAACAAAGCGCCGCACCGTATAAGGATATTAACGATTTAAATAAATATTTTTATGAGGGTGTAGTACGTTTCCTGTTTATAACTGTTCTCACTATTTTTATTTACACGGTGTTTAAGTTTCTCAAGTAACTCAAAATTTACGGTGTATACTAAGATAATAAAGTAAATAATTAGTTTTCAAGTTGAGCTCAATGGCCCAGTTAGTGGCGCATTAAATCTAATGATTTTGATGGTTTAATTCAGGTAAGTTAAGACTTCCCCTTGGTAGAAAATATATTTTTGTAGGTGTCTACTTCACCATATCCTTGATTGTACTTTTGCAAAGCACTATTATACCATTACCAGCAGAAAGTACAATCCTGAAAACTTGTGTTCAAGCAGGTAGGAATATTAGTATGCACTATATATGGTCGACGATGAAATCAGAATCACGGAGCTTTTTCTCGTGCAATAAAGTTTTTATCTTTTTCGGTGTAATTTAACTTAGTATTACGACGTTATCTTTGAAGTCATTTTACGTAGACAGCAGGTTTTTGGAGTACTTTAACACATTTTCCATACTTTGCACCTTATTAACATTCACTTAATTGGATAGTACCGTCACGGTGTTATAATTATAGTGAAATCAATAAACTGTGTGACTGGCGGTAAGTAACTTATCTACTCACAGCCTTAAGTACCACCTATGTTTTACTTCTGTCATTATAAGTTACAAAACAAGTTAATTGAACTTCCATACTTCAGGAGAACATGACATTGACACGTAGTTATCACGTATTGATTTGATAAAGCTCGGCCTTCGCTATGTCAGCCTTGGTGATGACATTTCAGTGGTTCTAAGTGCTATAATTTTAGGGGTCCGTGATCAAAAGGTGACAATGGAACCCTATTGGTAAGCCGCTGCCATAGATACCCGTCTGTCAGTGGGCCCATTATGTTGAACCGTAATGAGTAGAACTATTATTTTCACAGTGTATTTACTGCGATATTAACATTGGCACTATAATAATAAATTAGCTCTTTTTTATAACGGGATGTGAAAATTCATGTTGTGTTTTTTGCTCGACCTTTGTTGCAGTATATCATTGAAATTTCCTTAAGTTTGTTTGTTTCGGTACGCATAAAAGTTTACAAAGTTCAAACCCCTTCTTAAAGTACTGTCCGATCCAGAATTAATAGGTATTTTGGGTTTCTTTTTAATTTACTTAGAATATTTATTCGACGTATAAAATATAATTTCATCTCACAAATCATAAAATTAAAATTTAGAATCAAAAATTGACTTTACAGATTTCATTATAGAAGAAGAATTATTAATTTTATGTGCAGTTGGTATTTCAATTATGTTTTTCGATAATAGCTCACTTGGCTTTACCGAACGCTTTACAGTAGAGTTCGATAGTAGCCTGACAGTTAATGCCGATATATCGCTCTATCATATCCCGTTTCGGTGGTCGTGCTAGAGGAGCAGAGGCGAGCTTTTGTCATACTTTCCCGAGTCATAGTGGTAAGAGTACTGTTTTAAAGAAAACTTTCGCGAAAATATATTCAGAAAATTACAGCCCACAGGAAAGGTAAGGACAAAAAGGTAGGGAACGGAAAGGTAAGGTGGGGAAGGTAAGGAAAGTTAAACAAACCCGCTTCCGGGAGTAGAATAACCCGTCTTGGAAAATGAACTAAATTAACAATTAAATACAATACAAACATGAAGACATTTCTGAGAGGACTGTTACATTTTTAGATTAATATGTAGTCTATGGAAACATTAAAAATAATAAAATATGTATCTATGGTATTATAAATTAGCTCTATTGCTTTCGGGTCTTGTAATGTAACAGAATAGATGCTGAATAATCAAGAAATCTGATGTTTTACTGGTCGCGCCCGCCGTTCAGCTCATCGAAATACAATACCACGAAACATCAAAAGGGCAATAGTATTTATTGCTTTGTATATGCCGCAGATTCCGACATAGTTTCTAGGTTATATTGACGTCTTTAGGGTGCCTTAGTAATATTCTAAGTATAGAGGCGGTCGTGTTGCCAAGCTACTACGTAGATATAATCATGATTACGTAGTATTACTTTGCAGTTTGAGTAGTTAGTTATTGACGTATAATTGTGTTAAATAATTGTGACAATCATTCATTACTTAAACGTCCGTTTTTTTGACAATGGCCTATTATTATGATTATGTAATTCGTATTTGTCACAGCATTTAAAGGTAACACGCATAATTTGGTTTAAAACGATTGATTGTGTAAAAGCTGCGTGGGTAGCGCTTTTCAACTTTCATAAGTACTTTTAAAAGCCT